AATAATAAAATTAGAAAGTAATTTACTGTATGTATCAACTAAATTTCTGTCGTCAGCGATGCAGGTCTTACAATCACAGACAAAATAAATGAAATACTGCCCGAGACTTGTAACTCTTAAGATCTTTTGTTTTTGCAGAGGCCCAGCTCGCACATACAGTACATCCTCTCCTTGGGTTATAACATTAATAATATGTCTTCACTCAGTCCTTGTTACAGTCCCAGCATCCCTCCTCCAGAGGGCACCTCGAGCTCTGGTACCTACTTCATCTGTACAGCAGAGGCATAGATCAAGCAGACGGCAGTAGCTAATCCCTGCTTGCCCAGTGTCCCTACAGTACCTCACCATGCCTCCCCTCCCCAAACCTACTTAAACCCTGCTCTTTTTTCAAGCTGTGCTTAGTATTGGTTTCAGCTCAGCCTTTGCTGGATTCTTCCTGGACTCCTTGCCTGACTTTTGGATTTTGGCCTGTTTCTTGACCTTGGCTTTTGGATTGTGTTTCTGGCGCTTGATACTAAATTTGTCTTCTGGCTTTGGACTTTCACTCTCCTCTTGACCCTGCCCTTGGATTTCCCTAGTTTACTGGTTTAGGATTTCTGTGACCTTGAAACCCACATAGGGTCCATTCCTTGTTTTCTGAGCTGTGGACCAGCTTAACAGCCTGCTCAGTCTCGAAACCCAGTCCTTCACAGAGATATTAGTCCCCAAAAGATCTCCAGCTCCTCTTCTCACGTGGAACAGCTCTTCAGTCCTCTGTTCTGTTCCACTGAGAGAGCTGGAACGGATGAATTCTTGATAATCTCCCAAATTCCATAGTTCTCTTCTTTGCAGAATAACTCTTTCATTCCCTGGATCCCGTGGCACAGTCAGCTGTGCTCCCCCATGCCCAGTCTTCCCTTTACCTGACCCATTCCCACTGTGGGACCCCTGCCCCACTTAGTCGGGCTCACCCTTCCACAGCCAGTCTTCCCTACGCTGGAAGATACACGTTTCGTCACACCCTCCTCTAGACCACGACTCCAGCCACACAAGCAATACTGCTCACCTGGCTGACGTCATTCACAAGTGATCTCCCACTCAATGTCTCCATCCAAAAAGTTGCCTTGCAGGCCATACACTCAAATTCGCTCATACATCAGTTTCTCTTTGACTGGTTATATAATTAGACTCTCTTTACACAAATTGGCTTTCCGAACCTGTTACTGTAAGTATTATGCCTATTTACTGTACTTAAATTCATGTTTAACATGTCCAATTCTATTTTATGAGCGTTTAAATGTGGAAAGTGGCAAGAAAATTCATGCAGATAAAAACAGAGTATAAAAACAGAATTTGTTGAAGATGCACTTAAAAGCACGCTCAGCAGGCGAAACTTTTCTGCGTAAGAGAGCGAGTGTGAGATTACAATTTGAACTCGCTTGAACTTCTATTTAACGACTCCGTTAAGATTGAAAACAGACGTGGTGCATGCTCTACCTGGCACTACCTGTCTATGATGAGGAAGCCAGTTCCTTGGCATCCTTCAAGACGCAGCTACAGAAGATGATTCTGTGAAAATCATATGCAGTGGTTGCAGGGTGTGTGATAAGAGCAAACCTCATACCTTAAAAACTGGGTGTTTTGCGGGCAGTAATGAAAGTAAAAATTAGTAGTTTGGACTTTCAACCCCAGGGTAAGCAGTTTAAATCCAGCATAGTGATGCTGTTATACTCTAGAGCAAAGTTCACTAATCTAAACTGCATACAGTAAATGACTTTTATAATTGTTATGTAGAAAGCAGTTAACTGTAATTTGAAAGCCATTTAGGATTTAAGCTTACTTTGCAATATAATGTATGAATAAGAAATTCATGCTCAACATTGATTAGTCTCCAAATGTGGATGACTTGTTTCCATGAGTAGTTTTTATACAAGTAAGTTGAAAGTAAACACACAAATATGTATTTTGCATGGCTGCATATTCACAGAATTCTTTGGTACAGGTTTTAGTAGCTGTAGCCATTTGATAGAAAACTGCCTTTGGTATTTTGTTTGTACTGTAGTTTTAGTTCCCAGATTTTTTTCCTGTCTGTTTACAATATTAATTTTTCCTCTCACATAAAAAAAAAACAATAAATTGTTTTTGGGAAAATGTTAACTCCATTGTGAAATTGTGTATAATATTTTTATGAAATTGCAGTCTGTTGGTAAGTGATCTAACAAAAGCTTGTTACTTTTGCTGGATTTTTAAAGGTAATTCCTAAAATGAAAATAGGGCTAGGGGGGGGTTGGGTTTAATTTGCTCTGTTACCCTGCTGTTAAGCTGTGATTGATCTGCAATTACTCACTATCCTAGAATTTTCAAAATGTAACCATCAAGCTCTTAATGTCCGTCAGCAAAGAGACTTAAGCCCACGTAATAATGAGAGTCTAGAAATGAGAACCATCTGAGAGGGCAGCCTAATGGTGTGTGTTTACTCTTATTGTTGGCAGCAGTGAATTCTTCCTGTACTAGTGTTTAGGAATGGAAGGGATTTGTATAAGTCATGCTGAGCCACACTGAACAGATTAAGTTACAAAGCTCTTTTCCCACAAACGTGTTGCACAAACAAGCAATAAAGAAAAATACTTTCCGTGCTTTTCTTTTAAACAGGCACACATCGGACAGTTTTGCATGATAGTAAACAGATATTCATCAATAACAACCCTTTAATATTTAAAATGTTTATATGCTTAAGCTGTGGTGTTTTTTTTCTTCCTTTATTTGTTTTTTGTCATATAGGCCGATAACAGTGGTGCAAAATAGCATGATTTCGAATTTTGGTCAAAATATGTGACTTTACTTTCTATTTCTCCGCTCTAAGGACCTGGCCATTTATAATCAAAAGCCCTATGAAGTATAATAACCTCTCCTTCATGGAAGCCATGGATAAATTCAGGTGGTCCAAGAAAAAGGGAAAGGCCTTCAATGACGTAGTTCATCGCCTGCCAATCAATGTGAGATGTGCCAAACACGATCAGGATGAGTGGTCGGTGAGTATCGACCTCAGCCTGTCTGTTCTGTAAACATCACCAATAAAGAAGAATGACCAGTTCCAGAGGTGGCCATGCATGCCCTGTCCAAGACACTACCTCCACCGTGCTTCACACCACACTTCAACCTTTCCATCTTTAAGGTTTATCTTGGTTTGGATCTGTCCGCAAAATGTTATTCCCAAACTTTCCTGGTCATCTTTGTACTTCTGAGCAAATGTGACTGCTGTGTTCTTGATACTGAAGGGAGGTTTACAAGTGATATATCTTTTTTATTTTGCCTCCTTCTGCAAACCGTGGATGATACCAACGCCCTACATTCTGCAACTTGTAGCCAGTTTCGCTCACAGTAGTTTGAGAGTTGTCCTTGACAGCTCTAACTTCTGCCATCAGATTGTTTTTCTTGACCGACCCTGTCTTGGCAGATTGGTAATTCATTTTCTTCTTCAGTATATTCCAAATTGAAGTGTTTGATGTGCCAATAGATGTTCTGCGCCATATCTCCCACTGAGTTTTTCTTTTCTTTAACAGCAAATTCTTTGGTTCTCATTTTGACTTTCGACTACAGACTCCAAGCACTGAATTCAAAGTGAGACAGGTTGAAAGGCTGTTCACAACTCTTTTAATGAGTGCCAGAGTGCCCAACAATAAATGCCTGTCAACCTTTTGACCCTTCAAAATAAAGAGGTTCAACACCATCAATATGCTTTATTGACCCAAGACAGTAGAGCTTCGTTAAATTAAATACATACATAAATTAAATACATACATAAAATACAAAATAAGTATGTAAACTTATCAGTCGTGTTTTCTTAAGAGAAATGATTATTATTGGATTAGTCCTAAAACGTTTCGAGAACACTTTTTCTATTTCTGTTTTCCTGTGTACAGTGCAAAACATCTGCATTCTTTTATGTTTTTGCCACTTGTCTCCTAGGTTCAAGGCATGATTGTGTCTCCACCTGAAATAAAGAGGCCAACCAGCATTTCTCCAGTCCCATGCAGTAGAGCATCAGAACAGCACTGCAGTCCAGCTCTCCTTATTTTCACCTACTTTGTGTATTTAATCAGCACCTGGCCAGGATTGTGCCTAAATCCAGGTGACATCTAGCACTTTTCTGTGGGCACTCCATTGTTCTGATCTTATAATCGAAGCAGTTAAGGAACACTGAAGGTGAAACAGATCGAAAGACATTACAAACATGAAAATAAGGGCTTTGCAGTTCACTCTGTTATTTTCTAGAACATAGGGGGCAATCGTTTTGTGCATTCTCAAAAAGTACTGCAGGCTTGTTTGATAAGCATCCCTCTTCTACTTGACTAAAATATTTATGTGACCCTAAGTCTAACATTCAGTCGTGAGGTTTTTTCCCTCTGTTGGAAAATAAATTCTGAGAAATATGAAACATGAACTAATACTGATACTAAGCATAAGCCATTAAGGAACTATTTGTATGAAAGTACTGTCAGAATACTTTGTGTGACATACTGTAAGCAAAATATACTGAATGATACAAAACATCCTCAAAAGACAATTGACAGAACATTCCTGGAATGTTCCTTGAAGTATAATGTTTTGATAAAGTAGAAAGATATTTTTTCACTTTATTCTATATTTTTAAAACTTTTAATAAATGTATTACTTTATTATGTGGATTCAGTTGTCAGGTAAATCTAAAATTATGTATTAAAAAAGATTTTTGTAATTAAATGTGATGATAGAAATGTTTGTTTTCGTTACTCCGTTAAAGAAAAATAACGATTTAAATATATTGAAGTGATGTGAAGTACAACAACTTTAATTGTACTGAAATGAAACTTTATCAGAAAAATCCCAAACTTTAAATCAGTATTATAAATTCTCAAGGTATGAAATCTGGCGTTTTAACCGACAGCAAAACATTGTAACTATGCCAACGTTTAAAAATATTCACATATACTCTATTATAGAATTCTCAAAACTATTTTTTTGCTGTCAAAAATGTAAATTTCACAATTTATTCTCATGTAGTGCACCAAATTGCTGCCTTTCACACGTTTCTTAACATTATAGGAACTGTTTGCTTTTTTAAAAAGTCACCTGTGGTGACAGGACTGAGCTATATTACAGTATATGGAAATTCAACCATGTTAAAATGCAACAGCAACAAACGTGAATTGAATTTTTGATGTCTATGAGTAGGGATTGTAGCAGTGAACTGGGTTACGTACAATGATATATTTTCCGAACTGGCCTGCAGAAAATTAGGAGGAATAATGACATAATCCAGTTTAAATCCATTCTGAACTGTATATCTATCTGATGCAGATGACTATACTTGCTTATTGATGGGCTGCATATTCCAGTAATCATGAGGGGTATCTGATTACTCAAGAATAACATTCTTTCTCATGATCTCCTGCCTTTCAGACAGTCCTCCCCAGTCCCCATCATTTGCCCCTGTCCAGGCAGTCACTACAACCCCATCATTTGCCCCTGTCCAGGCAGTCACTACAACCCATCAGCGAAGTCAGTGAAGGCACCTGCACTAGTGTTCTTTGTGGATAACACACTAAGGGACATTGGAGGCATTGACAAGGGACATGTACACAGATGTACTGTGAAAGAGTAAGCAGAGAAGATCTGTTGCAAAGGAAGAAAAAATAAAAATCTTCTATATTTCCTTGAATTTATATGGCAATTTTCATTGCAAAGGATCTCAAAGTACAGCACTATACATAAAGGAGACTACAACTACAGTACATATACTAGCTGAACCAAGGGAGTTCTTTAAGATGGCTAGATTGTACAAGTGGAATTTATCTAGGACACTAGCATTAATACCCCTACTGTTTTGAGAAGTGCCTTTGAATCTTTTATGATCAAGTAATCAGGAGCTCTGTCTAATTTGGCATCCAATCCAATCCAAAACCAACTAGGTTTTCCTTTTACAGAACTCCAACCCAGTACTCACCAGGACCACCTTTCTTAGCTCCTGAGATTTGCTGAGATCAGGCTAAACAGCTGGAACACTGCTGCCACCCCAACCTGAACAGAGTAGCTGCTTTCAGTGGAACATTAACTATGTACTGTACATGCCAGGAGAGCTACTTCCTCACATACAGTACGTATACAAATGCAGAGCAAGAATCACAGTGAAGATCAAACAGTGAAAGACTTTCACTGCATTAGTATTTCTCAACCAGATTTAAAAGTTTGTTCAAGGCTCTCCTTCGAAGAAAAGTGGTATGTATAAAAAAACCATTTTGTTGTCCCTGTCTCACTCTTCTTTTCCTTTTCAATGTTCGTGTCCGCTCTCTCACATTCCCCATGACAGTAGGTTCTCCATATCTCTCACCCATAAGTGTGTTATTAAATCATAAACTGATCACACCTCCAGTTTATATACCCAGGACAGCTGACTTTTTTCCATATGTGTTCAGCCCTCCTTGCCTCTGAGGTGTTTCTGGGAGTTGTGGTCTTCTCTCGTCTAAACCAGCTCTCCGTTTCTCCAAGCAAGGTAGCTTACCTACCTTGAGCAACATTGCCCCCATGGTGGTATAGTATATATGTACAGTATAGATATAATGTATATTGTTTAAAATACAGTAGGATCTCAACATTTACAAGGGTTCAGTGCAGAGAACATTCACTATGTGCCCAATTCACATAAAATCCATCCCTATGCAGTTACATAATGTACTACACTACAGTTGAGAAGAGCAGACGCTGTCAGTAACCAACCTTTGTGTGCCATTTTTATACGGCAGGGTTCGTCCAGCCCTCTAATCTCATCTCATTGATTGGAACACCTGACTCCAATTAGCTTTTGGAGAAGTCATTAGCCTTGATCAGTGGTTCTCAACTTATGGTACGGTAGGCGGAGCGCCGCCAGGTGGTACGCCATATGACCCTGGAACTTTGTTGTGTACACTGAAAAATTGGGACCGGTTTTCATATCTTCTATTTTAATAAAATTAGTTTGTGTCGAATCCGCAGCCTACATACTACAATACAGCGCGCGCTAATACTTGAGTGGACACAAGAGCTACTATGTAAGTCTATACCATTCTATAGGAATGCTTGCTACGAACGCAAGTGACCAATTATATTTAAACAAGTTATCTAGCAAATAGGGATGTAGGAGAATGTGCATGATTTTGGAACAATGCCAATGTAGTAAGCACAGGAAAGCATAGAAATGCGTACTACGAATGCTGGCAATCTTGTGAGCACAGGAAAGCGTGATGGATAACAGAAAAATATTTAGGAACTGTTCTAGGTTAATTTGAGAAAAATACACCGAGCACCTCTGTGTTTCGCTCCCATGCGCTTGAAATAAAAACTTCTTTTAACTTCTGAGACAGACTGCTGAAATGGAAACGGGGACAAATGCAAGCTTGTGGATTGCTAAAGTAGGTAAGCCCCACACTATTTTTGAAGAACCTTGTTTACCATTGGCAAAAGAGCTGACACGTATTATGTGTGGAGATAAAGCTGCTAAACAGCTCAACCTGCTGCCCCCTCTGGAAGACACAGTCACTCATAGAATTATTGATATGGCGGATGATGTCAAAAGTACGCTGATAGAGGGCGTTAAGATGAGCAGATGCTTTTCACTGCAATTAGATGAGTCTGTAGATATTGTTGATTTGGCCAATTTGCTCGTTTACGTTAGTTACGAGTTTGAGGGCATGTCCCAGGAGGACTTTCTGTTCTGTAAGCCGCTACCAACAGGAACTACAGGAGAGCACATATTTCAGCTTCTGAATGAATTTATCGACTATCGAAGCTGACACAGCGGTGTAGTTGCACGAATTAGAGAGGTTGCTCCAGATATGAACTGCAGCATCTACCGTGACGCCTTGGCCGTCAAGAAAATGCCTGATGATTTAAAATCTGTTAGACTCTGTTGTGAATTGTATCAAGGCTCGACCAATGAATTCATATCTGCTTTGCTCGACTAAACAGACTCACCCCTCTCACTGAAATGGTGCTTTTTTATTGTTTATTTTTAATTGTTGTTGTTCCTGTTGTCATTCTGTAAAGCGCTTTGAGAAGCCACCTTTAAAGGTGCTATATCAAATAAAATGTATTAATATAATATTTATTATGTGTGTATGTGAGTGTTTGCGCACACATGTGCTCATGTTTTTCATTGAGATTTTCTGGGGTTCCTATGAGAAGATGACTTGTACTGTAGGTGGTACTTATTGTAGATGCTTTGGTTTGATCAGGGGTTGTATTTGGTCCAAAAAGTTTGGAAACCACTGGCCTAGATGTTCACATACATTTTCCAACATAGACTGTGGGTGTTTAAACTATGTGTTCAGTACTGACAAGAAGAAGTACAATTATTTGTGTGTTATTAGTTTAAGCAGATTGTGTTTGTCTATTATTGTGACTTAGTTGAAGATCAGACTACATTTTTATGAGTAATGAATGCAGAAATTCAGGTAATTCCAAAGTTCACAAACTTTTTCTAGCAACTGTAGATGGCCTCAGTGTTCTCAGTCCATTCCAGTCTATCGTCAATGTGAACGCCCAGGTAGAGTACTTGTATGAATCAACTATGTCCACGTCACTCCCATGGATACAGACAGGGGTAGATTGGACCCTCTTCCTCCTGAAGTCTTTCATCAACTCCTTAGTCTTTGCCACTTTAATATGAAGATGGTTCTCCCCACACCACTCCACAAAGCTGTTAAAAAGTCCTCTGTACTCTGCCTCCTGCCCACCTTCAATACATTCCACAAGTGTAGAGTCGTCTGAGAACTTCTGCAGGTGGCACAACTTCCAGTTGTACTTAAAGTCTGAAGTATACAGGGTGAAGAGGAATGG